AAAAAAAAAAAAAAAATCAGTCCCCAAAGAGAAATTCAACCTATCCACAGCCACATTCTTAAACAATTGCATGTTAGCTAGAACCAAAATTCTAATATATAAAATTTTAAAATGCCCTAAAAAAACCCAAAAAACCAGGAATATCATTTTTAAGCAACTTTTAAAAAATCAGCATTATAATGGGGGCCTGGGTGGCTCAGTCAGGTAAGCCTCAGACTTGGTTTCAGCTCAGGTCATGATCTCAGGGTCGTGAGATTGAGCCCCACGTGGAGTTCCACACTGGACGTGGAGTCGGCTTGAGATTCCCTCCCTCTGCCCCCACTCCGCTCCTCCCCCTATGATCATGTACTCTCTCTCAAATAAATAAATAAAATCTTTAAACATCAACATAAGACATGGAAACAACTCAGAAGAGCATATGATGAGGAGAAACATTCTCTTACATCATCTTTTTCTATCCCTGTGTCAATCTTCTTCACCCAAATTTTACTTATTATGGTGGTTTAATTCGAAATAATAACCTCATAATTCTTTTTCTTGATTTACTATCTTTAGGTAGTATCTATTTCTTCCTCCTCTGAGGATTCTGCCCACTTATACTTCCCACCTTCACTTTCCCCCCATTTCTTCCCAGTATTTAATAATATTATTATTACTAGTTGGGTTAATGCTAAGTTTAAATGACATATGTTTATAAGTCATATGATTTATATGTGGTAATCTACATTACCTAAGTTTAGATGACAGAATTATATCTATACTTGTTCCATCAAGGAGTTAGTACCTTAACTCTCTTCTATATCAAATTAGGTATTTAATATCCCTATCCTTCCCTTTAATTGTATCTATTTCCTTCTACCTTTCATTTCTTTCAACTACATTTTTACTTGTGTCATCAGGAGAACTTTTTACATTTCCATGATCTGTGGCCACAACTAAATATTCTCTCCCTTGCCTATTTGGTTGATTCTAAAAGTCTGAAAACCCAGAGTGCTTACATTATTATGCCAGTCTACATACTGTCATACACAAAATACAACATATAATATATTACATATACATATTATTCCTGCCAGGTTAGGATGTTAGGATTATGTTTCCTTTTCTGCTGGTCCAATGATGCAACTCCTGGGTCACTTGAAATAGAATGTTCATTCCATCAAGGTCATATACTCCATCAGTTACTTCAAGATCAGGCCAGTTTTGTTTTGTTTTACATTTCTTCCTTTCCTCTACTTCCCCATGGCCCCCTTTCCCTCCTTCCTTCCTTGTATGGTGGCCACAGCTGGAGCCTGGGTAATCTCCAATGGCATATTTTGTTTCACATTTAAATCATGACTTAACTTTCTTGAAACAACTTTTTTATCTTAGCATTTCTAAATGACTTTACTGCTGTCAAAGCACTTACCATTTTATCAAGTCTCAGATTTCTTCATTTGCTACATCACACTACCAACTGCTTAAAATCTCCCTTTTTCTCATCCCCTAGCCCTTGTGTTCCAATCTGGGGCAGCTGCTCCCTCGGTCTGTGACCTATCGTCCAAGACCTGCCTGCCCTTCACCACTTCCCTGGGATGTTTCCACTATTTCCTGGACCCCACATTTTCTTCCTTCATTTTTCTCTCATTTTGCTGGAGTGTGTATCTACAAATCATGTTCAAGGAAAGGGCAAATTTCAGTTAACATTTGAATCCTGGCATATCTGAAAATGTCTCTGTATCTTCCTTCATTTCTGATGGGAAATTTGGATGGACACAGAATTCTAAGTTCGATAATTTTCTTTCAGTAAGTTGCAAGGCCTGGCTCCCTTGTATTCTAGCCCCTGGTGTGATAATGAGAAATGTGAGGCAGCATAATTTCCATTTTCCTTCCCTTCAAAGCTTTCGGGGCTCTCTTTTGGTACATGGAAATTTCCAGAGACATTCTAGGTATGGCTCTTGTTTTTATTATTGTTATTACTATTGTTATTATTCATTGTAGGTGGTTCCCAGTCAACTCTTTCTGTCTGAAGACAAGTCGTCTTCCCTCTGAGATGGTTTCTTCTATCATTTCTCCAACTGCCTCTCCTCCATTTCCTCTGCTGATGTTTCGTCAAAGAGACAGACGTCGGACCTCTCAAGTGGCTCGCTACATAATTCTTGTCTCTCCGATTTCTATCTCTCGACATTTCTGATATATGTTCTCAAATATTTCCTTGACTTTATTTTTAGGGACTTTTTTTTTAAGCTCTTGGCAGCTGTGGTGGTTTGAAAATATGTGCACAAATTCTTTGCTACTCCTCTCTCCCTTCAGGGGTGGAGCCTAATTCCTCCCTGCTTGAGTGTGAGCTAGATTTAGGGGCTGGCTTCTAACTTGCTGACATAACAATGTGCACCCACAGAGACTAAGTCATTAAAGGTATGGGGGCTCCTTTCTTGCTCTCTCTTTTGGATCCCTTTGGGGGAAGTTGGCTACCACGTCATGGAATATTCAAGAAGCCCATACAGCAAGGAGCCAAGGCCTTCTGCAAGGAGCTAAGCCCCTCTCCTACCAGCTACCTGCGTGAACGCAGAAGCACATCTCTGGCCCTAGCTAAGCTTTCGGATGACTGACTGACACCTTGACCGCAACCACAGGAGAGAGAGAATTGCCCAGCTAAGCTGCTCTCATGTTCCTCACCCTCCAAAAACGTGACATACTAAGTGTTTTTTGTGTTAAGCTATGAAGTTTTGAGGTAGTTTATCACAAAGCAGTTGATAACAAATACAGTAGTTATTGTACTGTATGTAATAGTTATATTAAAATCATTTCTTTTTGGTTTCTGAATGCTCTTTTATTCATAGCATTATTATTCTTGTTTTATAGATACAATAATTTTTAAAATTTCCCCAAGTATACTATCTAATTTAGAGGTATTTTTTTCTAAGTTCTTGTCTTTTACCTAAGTTACTGTTTTCTGCTAGGGGCAGTTTTTCTGTTTATTTTTATTCTCTTTTGTATGTCACTGGTAAGTCTGGCATTATGTATTATCTTCGGTCTTGATTCCAGCAAGCAAATTTTGCCAAGAGTGAGTAATACTATTCATATCTGAGTACGCAAGACTGGGTAGCTGCTCCGGCTTTCTCTTTGCAGCTATATGAAGTAGGTCCATTTCAGTTGGGAGCTCTCTGGGCAGGGTGAGAGCTTGGCATGTTTACTGCCAGGCTTCAGGCCCCCAAATGTTAGAACTCCAGGGCATTGATACCACGGAGGACTTACCTTTCCCTACACAATTCACTCAACTTCTCTAAGAGAGAGCACACTCATCTTCTTCAAGTACAGAAATGACGGACGGCTCATATTCTACCACGCAAGGATCAGGAACTGCTGACATCATTGTTTTGATTACAGACCTTCAATTAATTCATTATTTCCAGCTTCACTTCTTACTCATGCACTCCATAAGACACGCCAACTCAGAGCCCAAAGTCTCTCCAGGGTTCTAATGGGCTGACTGGCCTCCACCCGGGATGGGACTCCGGGACGGGACTGCCTCTAACAAGTTAGGGACTCCGGCTTCCTCTGTGTTGTTCCATCCTTCCACCCATGCTTGTCCACTTTTAATCTCCCCCAAATTTGCTGAAATCTCTTGCTTATTGATAACATCTCTTCCTCTACTTCCTTTTTCTTCGTGTTTTTTATTTAGTTGCTATTGGTTACTTATCTGCCATGTTTTTAAGTTCAATGAGAGCTGGGAGCCATGAATTCATGCATGTACTCAACCCAACATCTTCAGAATTCCATAAAAGACAAAACCTCCAGATTTTTCTATAACTATCACCCTCCCTCTTTGTCCTAAATCCACGCCCCCCCCACCCCGTTCTGCTACAGCCCTCTCAAATAGAGACGGATGTTTCCAACACACACTGTGTACTTCAGGGTGGAGATGGGACAGATACCCTTGTTCCTCAATACTACTTTTAGACCATATCTTGCCTTCTAATAAAAATCCCTTGCTGCACTGAGGCTCTCACTTCTCGGTATTATCACATGCTCTCCCCCTCCTCGTGACAATCATCTAGTAATACTGAACCTTCAGCTGCTGGCTCATAGTTCTCCTCTCCCTGCTAGTATCACATGAGGTGACCTCAAAACTCGGGGATGTTAAGGTATTCCAACTCCTGGCTTCTTGGTTCCTTACTTTCTTTATCTCTAGTGACTTTCCCTGGGCCACTTCAGTGACCACTCCCACAGCTTTATCCTTGACCATGTCATACCAGAAATTGGACTGCTTCCAAAATCACTAATACAGACAGGCATTCCCTTCTCCAAATAAAATCACTGATTCTCCCAGCTCACTTGCTTAAGAAACCCATTAAAACAAGTATGAGGAAATATGGTAAGAAGCTCTTCTCTCAATGATCTATAATTACTTCACGTCTTTCTCTACTCTTCAAGTCCCCTTGCCCTTCTCGCTAAGCCTTCTCTCTCTGCTAATAACCTCGCCCTTCACACACTCTGCCTCTCATCTCCGCTCTCCTTCTCAAAACTTTGTCCTATTAGTTCTATACAGTTTATCACCTGCATCTTCAACCTCTTCCTCTCAATGGGCTTCCCTAAGTATTAGGAAAAAAAAAACTCTAGTAACTCAGATTTTTTAATAAGTCTTTTCAGACTCCCCGCCCCCACATCTGCCTCTAACTACTGACTAAGTCCCCCCAACACTCCTTTTCTCTTCCATTCATGGATCTGGCACAATTTGAATTTTTATTTATGTGACTATCCCCCCATGAGACTTAGCCGTGCAAGGCAAGAATCTCCGTATAATTATCGTGTGCTAATATCTGATACAAAGCTAATGCATGACAGAGAGCTCAGTCAATATTTCTGAGCGGATGAAAACTCAAAATTATCATTCAGCATGGATTTATCACTGGTTATAGAACATTAAAATGTTAAAATTAAATTGGGATTTTTGATTAGAATAATATGTCACTTTGTTTGTTACTTAGTGTGATTGTTGTAAAATCTTGATACTTAGTTAAGTTGCACTACAACATTAGGTCACCTGTATCATTCTCTTTCCCTCCTTCCTGGGAAGGAGTGGCCCCTGACACCACAGAGGACATGGAATTGGCTGGCAGGTATCCGACGTCTGTTCCTTCACCTGCTAGCCCACTCTGGCGCAACTTAGCAGGGTCCTGAGGCTCAGGACTTATAGAAGAGGGTGTGGATAAGTGCTTTGGGTGGCGCTGTTTCTGCAGCTCCATGGCTCTGCCAACTGAACAGAAAGCAAGGGTTAACAATTTGTGTTGCAAAAAAGCTTAAAAAGAAAAAAAAAAAAAGATGATATAAAGGATCTAAAAAAATGTCTGGAACATGGTGGGCCCTAGGAAAATATGGATTATTGCAGAGCGAGGGATAGGTAGGAAGAAATGGCAGAAGAAAGGAAGGAGAGAGAAAGAGAGCAAAAGGAAGGATGGAAAGAACAGAAAGGGAAGAGGAAGAGAGAGGGAGGGAAAGAAAGAGAGGCAGGCAGGGGGAGGTGGAGGAGGGCTGGAGAGAAGAGAGGAGAAGGCGGGGGACGATGGGGAGAGACAGGAGATGAGAGCGGTGGTGGGGGTGGGAATGCTGGGAGGCAGAGACACACAGAGCTGCACCCACTTGTAAGAGTGAGGATGAAGCCTGTTAGCTCTGTGAGCTCGTGGCAAGCCCCCCACCCCCCTCCCCAGGACCTGCAGATTCATCAGCACAACGTGCCCCGGAGACTAAGGAGATTGCTCGCAGCCTGCTCACTGGCCCTGTTCACGTCGGGAACCGCAAGAGGTGAAACACACTCACGTCGTCATTGCCCACATTGCCGCACACCCTCGTGCGGCTCTGGACATCCCTAATCCTAAAGTTCTTCCTTCCCTCATTCCTAAGTCCTTCTTCTACATGCCTTGGAACTCATGGTCAGAGTCTGTGAGATACTCCATTCTCCTCAACCTCTTCTCTAAGAATTTCCTTCATCTTCTCAGTGTTTCTCAACAAGGGGCACTTACTGGTATCTGACCGAGAATTCCTCATGGTGCAGAACATCCATGTCACTGTACCGCGATACCACCCTCACTCCAACCTGGCCAGTATTTTCAAATGTGGTCCTGCCCAGTCGAAGACCACAACGTGACCTGATATCCCTCCCTGAGGTACCACCCTCCCTAATTCTCCCCAGATCAGTGGGCTGATCGCTCTCCATTAGGCCTGATGGTGGAGGGAGGTCAGGAAATAAAGCACAATGGAGAGGCCGAGAAATTGCAGAAGTATGGAGAGCGAGTAATATGTATATAGAAAGATGAAACAAAGAATGGTGGAGAAATCCGTACACGTTTTGTTTTTTTAATTTAACAAATAGAAGTTGAATGCAAACAAAATCAGATTAGGTAAATCAATTATGTTATGGACAACTGCTAGGATGCTGCCATTCAAGACGATGTTTAAGATAATTATAGAGCCCACCTGGGGGTAGTTAGTTCAGAAATAACCTTGAATGCAAACAAGGCACACTGGAAGCTCAGTGGGATCATTTCAAGAACACCTTTCTCCAGCAATTCATTCTAGCTAACTGAGCCTCTGAAGGGAAGACGGCAGGGGCTGGTGAGAACGCCGCCTTTCCAACTTAACATACTTGCACTGTTGTCATGACGGCTTGGTCTCCTTGGGGGTCCCAGGATGCTGGGGAATCCTCTGCGCTTTCCTTTTTCTTCGCCTTCTCGATCTTTCTTCATACTCTGCTAGAGTTGAGGGGCAATCAGAGAGGTAAAAGATACATAACAGAGTAGATTTCTTTTGTGGCTTTCAAACACACAAATGCAATTCTAATGGGCAGCTGGAAGAACCGGTTAAACGGGAGTGAAGGACACTCACACACAGAGCTTGGTAGAGGCCGGCACGTGGTACCGCACACACATCAAACTCAAGATGTCTTTTCAACCCCTTTAGAGCTGGCAATTTTGGAAAACCAAGAGGTAGTTTTATAACACATCTACTGGGAGCTTGTTCCAAGCAGTTCATTCATCCGTTGAACGAGTACTTAATAAGCTCTTAATGTGTGAGGGCATTGTGCTAAAAGCTGGGGACACGATTAAAGGGGCCCTTGCCCTCACAGAGCTCCACAGCCTCACAAAAAGTAAAGGGATACATGTGTAATGACAAACTGTGACAGGTGCCATACAAGGAGAGGCGAAGGCCATGACAGGGTTAGGACGGCACTCTGTATGAAGTGCCATCTGCGTTCTTCACACTGTCTCACCATTACTTCACATGCCTGAATTTCCCGCTAGATTTCTGAGTTTCTTGAGAACAGGGGCCATATCGCACACCTATCAGCATGCCTAGCGCTAGCCCGCGGAAACAGTAAGGACTGAGAAGGAAAGCACTGTAGCCCATGTCAAGAAGCACAGAGACCTGAACACATTATTATCCAGTCTCACCTTGATTTTTGGAAGGAATCCAATCCGACCCCGCTTGTGCTCCAAATTTCGAGGTTCTTTCACTTTTACCCCCAAGTGCTTCATGTACATAAGGATAACATACTGCATTGTTGAACTAGAGGAAAAGCATGAAGTCAAATAAGAATTCTGAGAAGGGAGGGTGGACAGAATAAAGCTATCGAATGGCTTCAAAAACCCCAATGCTGGAATCCTTAGAATTCATTCATCAAGTAAAAACTAAGGAGGTATCTGTTCATTGCAAATACAAAAGGATTCTACTCAAGACACTAGAATATTAGTCAAATAAAATCGAGGCCACCAGAGGGAGATAGTCTGAATTCTGAAGTTAAAAGAAAGAAATCCTAATTTCGGACCAACAGGAGAAAAGATTGGTTTTTTTTCCATAAAATTCTAGGGGGGGAAAAACCCAGTTATATTACCTCTTATCTTCTTCTACAGCCTGAGCAGTCATCCTAAAAATAAAAATATTTCAAAATTAAATAAGTTGCTATTAGATACCCTAAACAAAAGAATAGAACCGGATGCTTTAGGCCACCCTCAATCTCTGTCACCTGGCATAAAATACCAGAAGAACTCAAACCCCACCCAAGGGACCACAGGCTTTTCTCACTCATGTCATCAACTGTCAATGTTCTCTGGCCTGAAATAGTTTCAAAGCCTATGAACTGAAACCACTGAAAGTGCTCAACCTGTTTCTGATCAGTTAGAAATCTTATAGTTACTCGTTTTACCAATACACAGAAAAAGAAAAACAAGAACTTTTCTAAAACATCAGCAAAAATTAAAAATTAAAACATTAAAACCCCCATACATAGCTCCACATACACAATCTGACACCCCTTCTAAATTTGCTCAAAGTGTGGTTTAAGCATAATGAGCATCTCAGGAGAGAGGGCACGTCCACATATACTTCTGTTACTTACAACACTTCTTCAATTTTGGCAACGATCTGTTCCGCACATGCCCGTTCCTTCTCCAAAGTTACCCGGTCCTTGTCTCGCTCTGCGTCGAGTTTAGTCAGTTCACTTTCAGCCAAGGTCAGCCCCATGCTACGCTTCTGCCTAAAGGGAACAGAACAAACTTCCTAAGGCAGCCTAGAGAAGAACGATCTCTCTCTGCAGATGCTTCATCAGAGTTTCCATAGCTAGCAAGGGCAAAATGTCACAGTTTTCTATTTTGGGGCCCCTGTCACCTAGGACACCAGAGAAAAAGAATTCTAGAGGCGATCACTCAACAGAACACCCATCCTGAGGGAGCACACTTAGCCTAGCAGAACAGTGAGCTCAAATCCTGAAAGCCTATGGAATGGGGACTAGGGACTCAGCACCACACCAACTCTTTGACTCCAGGTGTCCATTTATGTCTTAATCACAGTGATAAAGACTACACGCTAGGCGTGTAACCTTTTCCTACCCAAAAAAAGGTTAATTCAGAATGACCATATCAGCTTATATCACCCACCAAGCTTACCGAAAATCTTCCAAGTGCCTCTGAACTTCTGGGTGGACTCTTTCCTGCATAGTTTGGATATAGTGGCGGTGCAGATCCTCGGGTATAAGCTCAGGTCTTCTTTTTTCTGCATAAAGAAAAGGCAAGGAGTTATGTGATTTAAAGGTATATTCTGTGCATTACAACTGGCAACATATTGATGCTATTTGGTGCGAACTTCAAGTAGGACAAAGAGAAGATCTTCAATGCATTTTATGTATTTTACCTCACAATGCAGATTTCATATACTATCCTTTAAATGTATTACAGATTCTCTTTCCATTGTGATTCAGATGCCCTACTGGTCACATGACCGATAAAACCTTTAGAGATGAGCTGAGCTACAACTCTACAGAGATGTAATTCTCCAGGATACTGATGCTCCACACTTACCTAGATCTACTGATATTTCATCAGGCACAGAAACTTTCAGGTGCTGAAACAAAAATGCAAACAAAAAGTCAAACACCACTAAGGACTTTCCAAGATGTATATATAAGTACTTGTATAAAGTGAAGAGATGCAACTTGGATAGCTATTTTTACAATCACATTCAGGTATAAGCTCACTTATCCCATCCAAATGTCACAGCTCTGGAAGGTCCCACTGTTTAAACTTGAAAATAAGCCCTTTCCCCAAGGATCATGCTATACGGGAAATATCTATAGTCACTGGTTAATATACTCAGTTATACATCATTTGAATCAATACAGCTAAAACCTAAACTGTGTGTATGTTTTATGAAAAACTTGGTCATATATAACCATGACTTTTTTTTTTGCTGCATTTGAGACTACTGACCACATATTGCCAGTAATTTCCTATGTAAAGTTAAAGAACCCTCACAACATTCACGCCCCAATGAGGAGGTACTGGATGTCAATGTTGAGCCTTTGGAATATTAAATTACCAATAACCATCTGTAGTTTTTACTGTTGAGCCAACTAAGGTAACTGAGTCATAATTAACTTCTACTTAGCTAGGATTTTCCCCATAATAACTGTAGTTTCTGGTCCCATTACCACATAGTTGTGTTTTCTCTCTCATCAATCTGGGAAATCACTTAGAGAAAAAACTTATTTTGCATTTAGAGAAATAATCTTAACCTCTTTGCGCTTACTTTGTATTGTATACCTACTTAAGTCATCTACTTCCAGAATTTAAACAATTCTTATTAGATCTAAAGCTTTATATTAGAAAATAAGTCATTGCTGAAAATTATGAAATCTCTAATATTTGTCTGAAGAACAGTGAAATAGATGTCAAAGCTTTCTCTTTAACTGAAGTTGCCACACAGTAGCTCAAATCAAGTGTCCTAGAAGTATTGCTAGCACAAATGCAAAAAAGGATTTATATGCTCATTTCTGTATTTATAGGAAATAAATATCACCTGTGGTATAAAAGAATAATTAGCAAATAAATCTATCAGGGTTCTTACACTTTAATGTTGAAAAATTTAATACAGATCATGAGCAGCAAAATAAAGATCTGACTTAGCTTGGAGCTCTTAAGAAATGTGAAATTAACTCCTGGGGATTTATCTGAGTAAATGAAAACACTAATTCTAAAAGATATCTGCACCCCTATGTTTACTGCAGCATTATTTACAATAGCCAAGATACAGAAGCAACCTAAGTGTCCATCGATAGATGAATGACTATAAAGAAGATGTGGTAGATACACATAATGGAATATTACTTGGCCATAAAAAACAATGACATCTAGCCATTCACAACAACATGGATGGACCAAGTGGGTATTACGCTAAGGAAAATGGTCCAGCCAGAGAAGACAAATACCATATGATTTCACTTATATGTGGAATCTAAAAACTAAAAGCAATGAAGCAATGCGCAAACAAACAAAAAGAACAGAAATAGATTCAACAGAGTAGACTGATGGCTGCTAGAGGGTTAAATGGGGTGGAAGATATGTGAAATGCGTGGTGGGGATTAAGAGGTACAAACGTGCAATTACAAAATAAATAAGTCACAAAGTACAACAACCATTCGTGATAAAAACCCTCCACAAGGTAGGTCTAGAGGGAACATACCTCAACATAATAGAGGCCATATTTGAAAAACCCACAGCTAACATGTGACTCAATGGGGAAAAACTGAGAGCTTTCACCCTAAGGTCAAGAACAGGACAGGGATGTCCACTCTCACCACTTCTATTCAACATAGCACTGCAGTCCTAGCCACAGCAAGCAGACAACAAAAAGAAATAAGGGCATCCAGATTGGTAAGGAAGAAGTAAAACTTTCACTATTTGCAGATGACATGATACACTATATACAGAAAACCCAAAGACACCACCAAAAACTGCTAGAACTAATAACGAATTCAGTGAAGTCTCAGGACACAAAATCAATGTATTTGTATCGTATACCTACTTAAGTCATCTACTTAATGTGTTGCATTTCCATACGCTAATAATGAAACAGCAGAAAGAGAAATTAAGAAAACAATCCCATTTACAATTGCACCACAAATAATAAGATACCTAGGAATAAACCTAACCAAAGAGGTGAAAGACCTGTACTCTGAAAACTAATAAAAGAAACTGAAGATGATATAAAGAAATGGAAAGACATTCCACGTTCAAAGATTAGAACAAATATTGTTAAAATGTCTATATTACCCAAAGCAAAGTACACATTCAACGCAATCCCAATCAAAATACCAACAGCATATTTCACAGAACTAGAACAAACCAATCCTAAAATTTGTATGGAACCACAAAAGACCCTGAATGGCCAAAGCAATCTTGAAAAAGAAAAGCAAAGCTGGCGGCATCACAATTCCGGACTTCAAGTTATATTACAAAGCTGTAGTGATCAAAATAATACGGTACCGACACAAAAACAGACACATAGACCAATGGAACAGAACAGAAAATCCAAAAATAAATCCATAACTATATGGTCAACGAATTTTTGACAAAGCAGGAAGAATATCCAATGGGAAAAGGACTCTTCAATAAATGGTATTGAGAAAACTGGATAGCAGCATGCAAAAGGATGAAACTGGACCGCTTTCTTACACCATACACAAAAATTCAAACCATTTTAAAGATCTAAATGTGAAACCTGAAGCCATGAAAATACTGTAAAAGAACATAAGCAGTAACTTCTTTGACATTGGCTGTAGCAACATTTTTCTAGATACGTTTCTGGAGGCAAGGGAAACAAAAGCAAAAATAAACTACTAGGACTACATCAAAATAAAAAGCTTCTGCACAGCGAAGGAAATGACAAAACTTAAAGGCAACCTACGGAATGGGAGAAGATATTTGCAAATGACATATCTGATAAAGAGTTAGTATCCAAAATATGAAAAACTTATAAAACTCAACACCCAAAAAACAAATAATCTAATTTGAAAATGGGTAGAAGACATGAACAGACATTTCTCCAAAGAAGACATACAGATGGCCAACAAACACATGAAAAGAAGCTCATCATCACTTACCATCAAGGAAATGCAAATCAAAACCACAATGAGATATCACCTCACACCTGTCAGAATGGCTAAAATCAACAACACAAGAAACAAAAGGTGTTGGCAAGGATGTGAAGAAAAAGGAACCCTCGTGCACTGTTGGTGGGAATGCAAACTGAGCAGCCACTCTGGAAAACAGTATGGAAGTTCCTTAAAAAGTTAAAAATAGAACTACCCTACAATCCAGCAGTCACACTACTGGGTATTTACCCAAAGAATACAAAAACACTCATTCAAAGGCATACATGCACCCCTATTTTTATAGCAGCATTATGTACAATAGCCAAAATATGGAAGCAGCCCAAGTGTCCACTGATTGATGAATGGATAAAGAAGATGGTGCCGAGGGCGCCTGGGTGGCTCAGTCGTTAAGCGTCTGCCTTCGGCTCAGGTCATGGTCCCAGGGTCCTGGGATCAAGCCCCACATCGGGCTCCCTGTTCGGCAGGAAGCCTGCTTCTCCCTCTCCCACTCCCCCTGCTTGTGTTCCTGCTCTCACTGTGTCTCTCTCTGTCAAATAAATAAATAAAATCTTAAAAAAAAAAAAAAAAAAGAAGATGGTGCCTAGACAGACAATGGAAGTTATTCAGCCATAAAAAAGAATGAAATCTTGCCATTTACAATGACATGGATGGAGCTAGAGAGTATAATGCTAAGTGAAATAAGTCAGTCAGAGAAAGACAAATACCATACGATTTCACTCATAAAACAAATAAGCAAAGGGAAAAAAAGAGAGAAAGACAAAGCAAGAAACAGACAATTAAAGAGAACAAATTGAGGGTTACCAGAGGGAGCGGGGTGGGCGTTGGGTTAAATAAGAGATGGGGATGGGATTAAGGAGGGCACTTCTGGTGATGCACACTGGGTGATATACAGAATTGTTGAATCACTATACTGTATACTTGAAACTAATATAATACCATATATTAATGAACTGGAATTAAAAGCTTAAAAGAAAAATAAATAAGTCATGGGGATGAGAAGTATAGCACAGGAAATACAGTCAATAATACTGTAATAACTTTGTAGAGTGACAGATGATAACTACACTTTTCATGGTGAACATTATATAATGTATGTAATTGTTGAATTACTATGTTGTACACCTGAAATTAATATGATACCGAATGTCAACGGTACTTCAATTTTAAAGAAAGGAATATAAAATTCAAATATATTTCAATATACTGTCATTTTTTCATGGAAGTAAATTATCTTAACAAGTATAATATGTAATACTTTAAACAATGGCAGTATTAGCAGAACCCTAATGAATTCATTCAATAACTATCTGGGTGATCAGTCCGTACCATGATCTATTCAGTGTTGGAGAAATAGCAACAAACAAACAGAGCAAAAATATCTGCCCTCAGGGGAGCTGTACATTCCAGAAGAGCAGGGACAGAGACAAAATAAATAAATAAAATAAAAGTTCTATGGACAAAAATAACACAGGAAAGGTGACAGAAAGGGAAGGGGGTAAAATCTCAGGTAGGCTGGTCAGGGATGGCCTCCCTGAGAAGGTAAGTGTACCCCACCACGTGGAAGTGTGTAGGCAACTGTGTAACGAAAATGGGGCAAGAGCTGGAGGGAGGAGTGGAGCCAAAACGTTTCTGTGTCTGTCTGTTTTAAATAAACTCACAATGTTTGCATGCTCATGTGAACCATTCAGCAGAAAACAAAAAACTGGTGATGCTGGAGGGAAGGATGACAACTGGCCGGATCCCGCTGTTCAGCAGGCAGAAAGAAACACAAGGTGAACAGGGAAGAGCAGGTCTTGGAGAAAAGAAGGCAAGCGCTCTGTGGCCTCAGGACAAAGGCCAGAGCGTAGAGGATGGTGAAGGTAGGGGATATATGTGGTAGAAGTTCTTCTGCAGATACTTCAAATTTCTCACAGAAACTGCAAGGTCCTCCGCTGAGAAAGGACAGGAGAGGAAGCGATGAGGTTTTGGGAGAGGGAAAGTGGGCAACAGTCATCAAAGAGCAGTGAAACCGTGGAAGGCCCGGGGAACAGCGGCACGATTACCCAGGAAGCATTAAGGGTTGTGACTTACCCTATGGAAAGGCTAAGAATAATAACACTCATTAGTTTAAAAACCTTATAAAGATTTCTACTGGTCAAATAAAACACTATTATCATTTATGTAAGATCTTTCCTACCACAAGTTAAACTTGTGCCTCTGAACTTCAAAGAGGCCAACCAGAGTTCATTATGCAAGTATTATCCTTTGGATCCTAATACATATGTATGCATATCATTTGTGTTCTCTTTTGCACTCTCTTAATTATGCACAGAGATAAACCCCAATATATATATGTACCCCCTAACACCTACTGTGAGAATTCACAGCCTACAACTCATTTAGAAATGATAAAAGTAATGGTCAAGAGTAATCAGTAACTGAGATACACTATAAACGTCAGAAAGTCCAAAACAATAAAGCCCAAAACTACAGGGGAAGGAAGCCTGGAAGTAGGAGTCCAATAACTCAACGTACTACAGCAAAGATTATATAATATTAATTGGTAACTTACTGCAGATCGATCCAGGAAGAACTGATGAAACTCAAGGAAGACACGACGAGTCTCCTTGGAATTGGTCTGCTTATACAGGTCTGAATAGAGATAACAAAGCTGTAGTAGAGGAAGAAATGGAAAAGAGAGACAAAGGGAGAAATCATGAAAAATGTCATCTGCTAGATCTTCCCCAAGAGGAAAGTTTCCAACAAGTAGGCCACTACGAGCAATGTCATCATTACCATGCAACCAAGTTTTTAAAAAAATAATTTAATTTCTTTTTAACTATCATACGTATCTATCCTGGTATGTTTAGAAACTCATCTTGCAGAAGTGAGAGGTTTTATGGTGTAAGAATCAGTGTAAGAACTCTGAGCTGGCTGAACAGTCAAACACGTTACCAGCGTCGCAGGGTCAAACTGTGAGACCACGTGGTGTAAGAAAACAGCCAGGTGAGCAGGGCGAGATTTCAGCAGTTCGATGCTCTGGAAACAGCTGCACTGCCCATTGATCTAGAAGAGGAAGTACCAACACATCAAGAACTCCACCACACAGGTGCAAAATGTAAGATAAGCTCAGTTAAACACAACTATCCAAATTTCACTTTGACCTACCCTAAAAAAGTTCACGATTTTAAAAATTCCACTGGAATGTATTAGCATACAGGCTTATGGAATCTCTTCCCTTGAAAATTAATAACCTCATAGAAACAGGTTGGAAGAAAGACTACCTTAGGAGAACGCAAGTTTAGAAAATGATGATTGAGGAGCTCAGATGTCTACATATCAGGATGCAAAAAAGAGCATTAACAACACTTTTAAAAACAAAATGGGAGGCGTTCTGCCTATTAATGAAATAGACATCTTTCTTTTCTTTTGAGCTAATGCAGAAATGGTGGTATGAAAATGGAGATGTATAATTTTAAGCAAGATGACTCTGAGAGGAACTCTATGCGCCCTAACTACACCAAGCACAGGAAACTACTAAGTAACCTCGAATCACAATTTCCATTTAATTTCTCACATCTCTAAATAAATTAGAGAAGAAAGTTAATCTAAACAAATAGTACCAATTCTTCACAATCTCTTTCAGAAAATATAAGAAGAGGGAACGTTTCTCAAAGTCATTTTAAGAGGCCAGCATTAGGGGCACCTGGGTGGTTCAGTTGGTTAAGTGTCTGACTCTCGATTTCAGCTCAAGTCATGATCTCAGGGTCGTGGGATCGAGCCCAGCGTCAGGCCCCGTGCCCAGGGGGTGTGGTGGTGGGGGGGGAGTCTGCTTGGGATTCTCTCTCTCCCTCTTCCTGTGCCCCTCCCCCTGCTCTCTCTCTTTCTAAATAAATGAAATCTTAAAAAAAAAAGGGCCAGCATTACCCAAATATCAAAAACAAAGACAGTATAAAAAAAGAAAATGACAAACCAATATCCCCCTTAAAAACCGATGTAAAAATCATCAGCAAAGTAATAGCAAATTGAATCCGACAATTTACACAAAGGAAGATACGTTATGACCAGCTGTGGTTTATCCCAGGAATGCAAAGCTGGTTCAACATGCTACTATCAATCAAGGTAATTTACCATGTTAAGAGACTAAGTTAAAAAAAAACAAAAAGCCCACATGATCATCTCAATCACTACACAAAGTTCAACATCCATTCATGATGAAAATTCTCAGCAACCAGAAATAGAAGTAAACTTCCATAACGTAATAAAAAGTACCTACAAAATACCTATCACTAACATCTTACTTAATGATGAAAGACCAAATATCTTTCTCTCCAAGGTCAGAAATAAGGCAAGAATGTACTGTCTCACCACTCCAATTCACTCTCACAGTGGAAGTCCTAACCAGTGCAATAAAGAACAAGAAATAAAAGATAAACAGATTGGAAACAAATAAGTAAACAAGGAAATAAATACGGTTGTCTATGTAGAAAATCCCAAAAAGTTATTTTAAAAAGCCCATAGAATTAGTGAGTTTATTAGCAAGACCATGGGGTACAAGGACAGGAATCAAGCCAGTCATATTCCTATACACCATCAATAAACCATTGGAATTTTAAATCAAAAGAATATATATTTACAATTATACCCCTCTCTCCCAAAATGAAGTATTTAAGTGTAAATCAATCACTCCTTATCACCTTTAAAAGCAAAGTCATTTCTACTGGTCAAAGTTAAAATAAAAATCCAAATGATTAAACAATTAATCTTAGTTCTAAGACACGGCCTTAAATCTTGGAGAATTTCAATCTCCAAAAAGCATTCATTTTCACAAAAAATCAAACATGTTGAAGAATTAATAATGTGTGTTCTAGAAAAAAATGTCATCACCTGTTCATGTTCAGTACCGAAATCATCATCCTCTGCTCCAATAATATGAGGTGCTATACGGGGAGAGGGACTCCCGATGAGTGACTGAATATCCTAGAGAAAAGGAACAGAAAAATTATCTGTTGGTCAAATCAGAGAAAGAATGAAGCCAAATCATCAAAAAGAAATGGTTCACTAAACTGATTCCTTTTTACTTTTCTTTAAGTGCTTTATTTTCAAAGAAGCGATTCTCAAATTTTCAAGGCAATGAATCACTTTAGCAAAGAAAACCACAACAGTATCGACTGTTTCTTGGAGAGAAAAAAAAAAAAAAATTTCCTCTGGAAATAATTAACACCTTTTGCTCACTACACTCTTGGATATCTGATTCTAATCACTCTGTGTGTACTCCATTCATTTCATATAAACCTTGTCACAGGCAGAAAGTTGGCTTACGTAAATAATTACAATTCTAAAGAGACAGAGTAAGAAAAGTGAATGACAACCACAGGACAAAGGAAAAACGAGAGGAGAAATAAGACGAGGTGAGGAGAGAGGTGAATACAAAGACTTCTATTAACATCGCATAATTGAAAGCTATCCCCGAACCCTGTTTTTTCATTTTCAATTCATTTTCATAAGTGCATAATACAGGGTTTTTCAAACCCTGGCACTGTTGACATTTGGGGCCGGATAATTCTTTGTTGTGGGGGCTGTCCTGTGCATTGTACGATGCTGAGCAGCATCCTGGGCCTCTACCCACCCACTACATGCCAGCAGCAGCCTCCCAGTCATGACAATCAAAAATGTTTCCATACACTGCCAAATGTTCCCTGAGGGACAAAATCACTCCTGGTTGAAAATCGCTGGCATAATGCAACAAAATTTTCAAGTAATCACACAAAATTAAAATCATTCTGTATAGAAACAAAGAACCAAAACTGCAAACATAAATTGTAGGTTGGCAGAGCTCCCTCCCATGCAAATAATAGCTCATCCATTTGTCAGCTCACTTACAAAGTTGGATTTAGCATGAAAAAGGCAGTGTAAGGGCATTAATGTATAATGTAAAAAATATGGGATGGTTGAAGATCACAAATACTAAAATCTAAGGCCATGCAGTATGAAGAGAAATACAAATTTGGGAGGATCTAGGGAAAGAATGAGTTCGGCTCAAACCTGATAGCAGCTGAACATGCAAGATGTGGGGCTGAGCAAGGCGAGCAGGGCTATCCTGATTTGGGGGCCGTGTGTATAGGAGTCCTAGCCGAAGCTATGCACATGCACCCAGTTATAAACAAAATACTCTGTAGCTGTTGTCTCCCCTCCTTAGGTGGGATGCCGATCTCTGTATCTGCCCCTTCTGAACTCCACTCTGCCTTTCTTACTGCTTGTTTTTTGAACGCCAAGGCCGTAGTCATTTTTTTAAAATATGGTAAAACAAGAGAAATGTGTTTATAGAGTGGTTGTCAGACAACTTCTGATTTTATAGCTGTTTCAGTGTCTATGATTTTTCAATAGTCCTTATGTTGCTAATAATTGATGGGTCACAACATGCTGTTAAATCTTTTACTATAAAGCTTGATACAAATCTAATTAAAAAACAAAATCAGGATGCTAAAAAGTATTCACCTAAGAATATGCAAAATCCAGCAATTCCACTTCTGAATAAATACCCAAAAGAACTAAAAGAAAGAACCTAAACAGATATTTCTATTTCCATGGTCATAGTGGCATTATTCACAATAGCCAAAAGGTGGAGATAACCCAAGTGTTCACTGACAGATGAGAGGATAAGCAAAACGTGGTCTATACATGCAATGGCTTATTATTCAGCCTTAAAAAGGAAGGAGATTCTGACACATGCTACGACACGGGTGACCCTTGAGGACATGATGCTAAGTGACATAAGCCAGTCACAAAAGGACAAACTCATATGATGCTTCTCATATAAGGTCCCCAAAGTAGTCAAATTCAGAGGAAAATGGTGGTTGTCCGGTGCTGAGGATAGTGGAGAGGCAGTGTCGAATGGGTACTGAGTTTGAGTTGGAGAAGAGGAAAAGGTTCTAGAGACAGATACAGTGATGGCTGTGTAACAGTGACAATACAACTTAATGACAATGAACTGTACACTTAAAACTTATTAAAATGGTAAACTTTATGTTATGTGTATTTTACTACAATAAGCAAAATAACATTAAACCACCCAGTAATGTCAACCAACCACCATGGAGTAGCTCTCCATTTATCAAATCTTTATTAGTAACTTTAAACTTTTTCTCTCCCAACCTGCACCCCCACCCCCAATCCACAAATATCAGGTGTGTCTGTCTCTATAGAAGGAAAGCTAAAGAAAGCATGGCCATGTCGTGGATTTCATACTCACAGTGTCCTGAGTCACTTCACTTTTTTCTGGGTTTTCCTCTAGATAAATCCTCTCTTTCAGGGCACTCTTGGGACTCTAAAAAAAAAAAAAAAAGACATTCAGTTCATTTCAACAGGCTCACCAAGAAAGGGATAAGGAAAAATAGGGTGAAAAAATAAGGTTCTGAATTTCACATTTGTATTTGACACCACTAAATATCTTTAATATAATACCTGGCTCTACTATTTGTCTTCCTGACTTTGACACGACACTTATTCTCAGCTGTTTTAGTTTTATGTTGATAAACAGCATCACACTAAGAGAACAGATGTACTTCGTGAACTCCAGGCCTACGGGCTAATTTCTACCAAGTAACCCTAACTAGATGTATTACATACTTCAAACTCATTTTGTTAAAGTCAAACTCTGTCTTTATCCACCTCTTCTAACTCCCCTGCCCCCAACTCTTCTTTCTATGCAAGTTAAAAGCATTCTGCCTCTTTATATGAATAAAATTAAGCTTCTGTCTATGTTTCTGTGAGTATAATGTGAAAGTGATTTGTGGATGCTTATAAAATTTGCACGGTATGTTTGGGATGTCCTAATATAAACCAGAAACAATATGATGTGCAGAACTTCAATTCTGGATGATGAGGAACACCCCAAAGCAAGGGAGCCATTCTTCAGAGCAGCTGAAAATGAGGTACAAGAGATTTTTGTGTGAATGCCAAAAGGGAAGATGCATGCTGTTTATACATATATCAAGATAGCACAAGATTAACATAACAATAAAAAATTTAAAGAGAGAAAAAAAATGATAGCACAAGATGAAGACAACAGTAGCTTCAAATATAAACCCTGCCTTGGAGAAATGGAGGACTTTGGGTATTGGGCAAGAGATATAAAAGAAGAAGCTAGAATAATCTTGTCACACCAAAAAGTAAGAAAGTTACCGAAGTTACTGGGATGTCATGTTAAAAGAATACTGAAGACAACTCGAGGGAGCTCCCACTGCCCAGAAAAGGGACAGTTTCGGCAACAATAAAAAGTAATGACTGCAATGGACTAAAACACAATAAACAAATATGTTAAAGTCTACGAGTTCAAAATATTACACATATGCATGTGTACACCCCCCCCCATTAGTGACCATTACATTTTGTTAGGGTACAGACTCCTCTGGAAACACATATATAGAGGGATACGAATCAAGTATTCATCCTGCATTTCCTGTATAAGCTGTATTTTACGGTAACCTAAAAGCTAGTAAGAGAAGATTCTTCTTTGTAAAATAATTCCACTAGTAAATACAGAAGGAATGACAAAATTATAATATCATCCTTTTGAAACCACTAATTAAATAATGGATGCAGGCATTTTGATCATCAATGACTGGTAAAAACATTACATAAAAGCTTAGTGGAAAAGTTGATTATGAAGGAACCATGCTGACATCATCTGAACACCTTAAACAAACCTACAGTCACAGAAAGACAACCAGACATTCACCTCCTGATGTGATGTAACAGGATGAACACAGTCCCACCCATGAATTGTTCTTGCCAAACAACAGCTCCTAATCTGATCAAGACTCTAGATCTCACTAATAGCTTTCAGGAAATATATAGAGATGAACACATTAAACAACACCATGAAAATACAATAAAAAATGTGAGTTTGTTTTACTGGGCATATTACCCAGTTTCTGTCACAAAAAAATAGCAAGGAAAAAAAAAGAGGAGGTAACAAATTAAAAGACTTATGAACCAAAGGCTGAAGACCTTGACTAGATCCGGACTCAGATAAACCAACTGCAGAAAGATCATTATGAGACAATTAGGGTAATCAAATTGTATATTAAGAAATTTAATTTTATGATAATGTTATTATGGCTGTATTTCTGAAAAAGTCTTTTCTCTTAAAGACACAGATTAATGAAATAATGTCTTGGATTTACTTGAAAATACTCCAGTATTTGGAGGGTGTGAAGAATGGGGGACACAGACAAAACAAATCCGAGTACTTGTTGATGACTTTCTGAGGCTGGGTGATCAGGTACATAGAAGGGATTGTTATGCTAGTCTCTATTTTTGACTAGGTTTAAAATTTTTCCACAGTAAGTTTTTAAAAACATCAGCCACAAATTCACAAAAATCAGAGAGGCAGATGCTCTAGATTTTAAATGATGATTTGTGATGAACCTACTTCTGTTGTGAGGACTGGGTGTGTGGGTATTCTTCAAAGCCTTCTCTGAGGTGAGCATAAGCAGGGAGCTTTACAATAATAATGATATCACAAACATTACAAGAAGATCATTTTATAAAAGTAAGCAGAAAATGGGAAAAAAAATTAAAGGCACTGATTGAAAAGACAGGAAGACTGGTTCCTACTGTCTTAATACAAATGTGGAAATCCATAAGCTAAAAGCAGCACATCTTTACCTTCAAATAGACGCTTGTGGGAATTAAACTAGTTTGTTATGAGTTCAGTGAATATCCTAGTCTGTAGTGTATCATCTCTCCCCTGGATTTCTACAACATCCGTTTATTATTTACCTGGCTTCGGTGTCCTCTACACAAAATGGTGATACTACTTCTTTGATGTTATTGGGAGAATTTAAAAGAGTATCTGTATGGCATTAGGCGCAACTGCTGACACAGAGGAGGTAGTCAGTAATGTTAACTATTTATTAGCCATTCAGCACACATTTGTTAAGGGCCTGTTAAGCCAAGTAGTCCTCTGTCCTTACAGATCTCCCTGTCTCTTTATTCTAATTCATTTCCACACTGACATGTTTCTGATTGTGCTTCTCCTCTGCAAGCAAGATAAAGCCCAAACTCTCATTCATTCTGTTGTTCATTCAAATACTTATTAAACACCTACATCTCCAGCAGTCTCAAGTCACTGGAATGCCTATTTCTACACTTGCCAATTCATTCTGTGTTTCATAAAGTTATATTTCTAAGCCACACATTTTATTGTAACATTCCTCTAAATACAAGATAAAATTCAAATTTTTCTTTCGTACCATTTGTTGTGAATTCCTAATTGTAGGATCTGCTAGGTTTTGGAGACATAAAGTCAAATAAGACTGTCCCTGTCCTCTTAAGAAACTGTCTAATGGTAGAGACACAAAAACAGAGAGAAGTAGCACTAAGTCTAAAAGGAGAATGCAAGAAGGATTGCTAAACACAGTACTGCTAGAACAACGTGAAGCCTTTTACAACCTGAACTCAAGCCTTTGTTTCTAAGAGAAAATTAAGCCATTCCATCCATAACCATAATATAGCAATAAAATTTTCACCGGTCTCCCAAAATGTTATGCATTTCTATTCCTCAGTACCTTTGTTTATATTTAGAGTACTGGTACTTTAGAGCTAGATGTAAGCAGATCACCTATTATCTGGCTAAGTTAGCAAATTAGTTAATCCCTTTGGCCGGTTTTTTCTTTTGTAAAATTATGTTAACAATAGTACTACTTCATAAGGTTGTTTTGAGAATTAACTAAAATAAGGAATGTAAAACACTCATTACAGCATATGGCATATATGCCCAATAAATGTTTTCTTCTTGAGATAAAACTGAAATTTCTCATTAAAACCTTGAGCCCATCCAATCATAAGACTGCTAGCATTATCTTTCCCAAAAAAAAAAAAAAAAAATCCTCAAATTTTCCTTGAATGAAGTTCTAATTCATTGGGCCTAAGCCTCAAAAGGTGGCCTGAATGATGGCTTTAACCAGTGGCTTTCAAATTTTTTTTACCATGACCTTCAATAAGAAATTTTACATTGTCAATAGCACGCAAACACACACGTGCATGTATATGTGTGTCTAACAAAAGTCACAAGAAGTAGCACTTACCTTACCTGCATTTTGCAAAAAACATTATTTCCTATTCTATTCTTTTCTTTAATGCTAGTCCCAACCCACTAAATTGATTCCACAGTCCACAGTTTCAAAACACTGGTTTAGACTATTTTCCTCATCACTTTTTTAAAGAGGGTGATCTATTTTTAAGTCATTATTCCTATCACTGCATACTACTTACAAAGGATTGTTAAGCAAGCAACAGTGAACTTAGCTGGTAAGTATTCATATGACTACGGTGGTACATCATAATCAACTTGAAATGTTTTCTTATGATCTTCCTAACAAATAATCCATCTTCATCTGGCAATTTGGGGGTTAATCAAGAAAGTGTTACTAAACAAGGGCTATTAAGTCTATCTAACAGGACTAAGGCTTTTCCTCTTTGTAATGGCAAAGTGCCCCATGATTCAAGACTGAGTCACTCTGACCACAAATGGAATATTAACATGCTCTTAAAGATATCAACAGTTGGCCTCCTGGTTCAGTAAAAAAACACTAGCATTATTAACTTCTCAACCCACAAACAAGAGGCCTGCTGGGAAATTCCACCTCCTCAAAAGAAACATTTGGCAACGTGTGTCTAAGGGAAAAAGTGACCTCTGGAATGAAAAGCTCACTGACAACAGTGTCCAGAATTTCTGCTCATCAAAATGCTATCTTAAAGGTGGTGGTGATAAAAAGTAAATAATAAGAGAACGCCTCTAATTCAAGTAACTTAAATACGGAGAGGAGCTGTAAAGAAGAAAACAAGATCAAGACGTGGAACACTTACGTCTGCGCTGTCACTACTGGGCCGAGAAGCATCTCCACTGCTAGAGTCAATTCTGCCTAGCCCGTCACCAGGATCGGCTTCCACCTCACTTACTGTCAGGGGGTCACCTAAAGGCTTGGAGGATGTAACGACAGCTCCATCCTAAAACGGATTAGACACATGCACACACACCAACACAATAAAAAAAATTCATTACTGACTGCATAAAGAAACAGACTCGCACTGTCATCTAAATGGAAACTGGTAAAAGTTGGCCGGCTTGATGTGATCAAGAATGCTCAAACCTCTAAAAATTTAAAGCATAAATAACTACTAATTCAGTGGTTCTAAAATGGCATGATCTTAGAGACAGGGAAAGTGATATTTTAGCAAGGAGAAAAAAAGTTCAAACTTCTGAATAGAGCAAAAAGATAAAATAGTTGGTTAAATTACATAATTCATATTTCCTGCCCATTACAGTAAAGATTATTACACTATAACTTCTGGTTAACTGCCTCCCAACACTTTAGAATTTCAATAAATTTCCAATTCTGGGACACAATGCTATAATATAATACAGGCTTTTAGACCAGGAACCACGTTTTTATTGTTTGAACAGAATAAGAATGTCATCTTCGCTCAGTAATTAAAACAACATAAAACTGTCAACATTACTGAGGCATAATACTCAAAATCTCATATAGCTAATGGGATTGAAAGTAATGAAAAAAGCTAAATACTGTGTGAAAGTACACTGAACCAGGAAGTCAGGAGACCGTACAGCTGTGTGACCCTGGCTAAATCATTTAACCTGTTTAGGCCCTAATTTCCTCAACCACATGATTTTTTGACTTTAAAACGAGCAGATGAGGATACATGATCTCAAAGAATACTTTGAGTTCTATGAAACTGGGGCTTTCACTCACAGACTCAGGAAGCATAATAAATCAAGAGCTTTTACTCATTTCAAATGGTACAGGAATATGTCCATTTTGCTCTAAGATGAGATTATAAGGAGCTTCTCATATCCCAGACCTGAATATTCTCGAGTAGAAATGTGGTTGAGCATTGTTTCTAATGAGACCACCATCTCCATAACTTACACCTGTGTAACAAGTTCTGTGTAAATCTAGTTTAAAATTTCAGTAAAAAATATAGTTGTTAAGAATATGAAAGTGCTCTGAACTCATCAGACTGGGTTGAAATTCCAGTTCCACTGCTTTTAAGCTATATGACCTGAGACAGATTATTTAATCTCTCTGAGTTTCTCTAAATGCATATGTAAAATGGGGGCAAACAATAGTAGTATCCAATCTCAGGGGGTTGCAGTGACGATTGGCAAGAAAACACTTGTCTCTGTATTTAGCATAATGCCTGTCATTTTACAAAATCTTATGTTCCTACTTAAAAACATAACTGCCATTCTCTTTCAAAATGGGAGAATGGGAGAATGAGCCTCGAAATGTAAACATATGTATCTAAATACATTTTAGTAGTTTGTCACAACAAAGCAAGGGCACTCAATTCTTTTTAAAATTATTATGGAACAAAGAAACATGATACCACGAGCAAGCAAAGAATCAGAAGCCCACATTTCTTTTAGCTAATCATTATTTCTGTAACATGCTACACAGGACATCCTCTTGACCTATGCTAGAAAAAATAACTTTTTAAAAAAGGCAACTGCAACATTCTCTAACACATTCCCAGAAGAAAAATCTCCTGCAAAAAGTTGGGTAGCACTTTTAATAGTGATGCTACCTGAGCAGAGCCTGTGGCTTTGGATAGCTGCTCTTGCAGCTGAGGAATGTGTTTCTTGGCCTCTTGGATCTCTTTTAGCAATCTTTGGGCAGGTGTTCGGTTGTAATCTTCCTGCAATAACTGAAAAGTTATAAAAATATTTTGAGAATTAATTACTTATGTCAAGAAAATATAGAAAAAGTCCATTCTTAATAAAATAGCGGATGGCATTGATTACAATACTGCTTGACTGTGATCACGACAAATACCAACTCAACTAGGCCCACTCACATTTTCACTGGCCTGTAAACTGCCCCGTTTCTAATTTAGTACCTGCAGCCGTTCCTGTTCTTTCTGTAACATTTTTCTCAGAATTTCTACTTTCTGGTTATGAACCACATTGTTTTCCTCCTAGAAAAGAGATAAAAAAAGACCAACAACAACAACCAACCAACCAATACAGGGCAAGTGTAACTAAAATAAATAGCGGTCATAGAGAAAGGCTGTGAGACACGACACTCAAAGTCGGAAGGTTACAGGGAAATTTCAGCCCTTCTATTTCACTTTTACTAAGGTCGATTCAAGAAAACGTTAAATATTGATATTAGCTGGGGAAATGAAGTCGCCTTAAGTACAAGAATAATATCTTACACTTTCCGCCTTTGGATCTGTACTGTTGATCCCCATGCATGACTCAACTTCCCAGTACTTCCTGCCTGAAATACTCAAGACAGCTCCCTAACTCCTCTCCACTATCTCTTCTTAGAAGTTTCACAACCTTGTAATATTTGATCTAATTAGCCTTTCTCAAATCCTGCTACAATCACATCACTCTCTGACCCCCCGCCCCCAAATTTTAACGGATTCTTACTGCCTCTCCAGTTACACATAAATTAGCCTGCAGTTGTGATTTTTCAAAATAAATAGTCCTACTGTTTTCAAGCCTCATCTCCCACTACTTAAATCCTTAACAGGCACCAGCCAAACAAAAGTCCTGGAACTCCCCCCAAATACTTGGTGCTTTCTTGGCTCTTACTCTGTATTTATTCTACTTCTTTTACCTGGGCTCCTTTCCTCCCCACTGCCACCACTTAAATGTTACCTGCTTTTCAAGGTTTGATTCAAATAATAGCTTTCCATAAAGTCCTTCCTTATTACAACCGATGTGCTTCCTCCCTCCTCTGAATTGTCACAGAACTTAATATTTCCCCCCTCATAATGCCTACATTCTGCCTTGGTATTATAATTACTCGTATACTCTTGATTCTATCTCAAACAACAAGGGTTTATGTATCTACTATATGCCAAGCAATATTTCAGGCCCTGGAGACACAACAATAAACAAACAAAACTCTGTCCTCTGAGAGTATATGTTCTGAGATAAGGAAGGACCTTGAACATAGGGTATCTTAATTATATTTTTGTGAATGGCACCCTGTTTTGTATATGGCAGGTGTTAAATATTTCTTAATTCAATCTGCTATCCCAACACTCTGTAATCATCTCAAATTATGACATAATTTTTTTTACATTAGGAAGCTATTTTCCAGTATCCTGAACTTAAATCAGATCAATACTTTAAAACTCTTAATATAAAGCAAAGGCATCATTATAAAGTGAGCATTTAAAAGAAGTTTTCCCCTCTTACCCCCATGAGCACAGGACTAGTAATTCTCTCCATGTTCCCAGATGCTCCAGGTGAATGAGGGGATGTCATGATGGGAGACATATGTCCAGTGACTGACGGCTCTACTTCAGATTCGGCGAGTGGAATCTGGGGCGACCCAGGTGGGCGTCCCTGCACAGTGAGAGCTACATAGGAACCAGCTTGCGGTGGGGATAGAGAGGAAGGAAAAATAACACTGTCAAAAGCTTGTTTACAGCATTTTGCTACTTCCCCTTTGACAGTTCTATAAGATCCAGTTATGTGAGCAAGTCTGATCATCTGCTAACCATGATCATCTGCTAACCATTGTTCCACAGAAAAAGAAACCAACTTGTCATTTCTTTATGACTCCCCTAAAAATCTAAAAGAACAATGCCATTTTCAGATGGCAAATTACTTTTCATAAGATCAGATATTACACAAAGGCAAATAAAACTTATAATCCCAAGAATTGCTTTTAATTTAGGGAAGGGTGAGTTAACAGCAACCATATACACTAATGGTTATGTTCAATTAATTTCTTAAATGTACATTTAGATTTAAGTAATCATATTTTGAAATGATACTAATTAGGTAGGGTTTAACTGATTTTCTGGAATATCATGATGCAATTTTAAATTAACTTAAAAAAATGAGAAGGACAAAAAAAATCCCACAAAAATTAGAAAAGAACACACAATAAATGTGTAGTGAGATCTGACCTCTGAATGACAAAATCTTCCTCTTAGACTTTCCAGCAGAACTTCTAAATGTATTTCACACTTTTCTCCCTATTTAACCACCCATGGAACTCACTGTCAATTATTTCAGTGTTTGAGTTAGAACATTCTAAAAGCCTTTTTCTACACTTAATGGTCACCAAGTGCTATGATTTGGGGGTATTTTAGGGACCTACACTTTTTAAGGTTTTTCAATCGTATTTCTGTCAGAAAGTCATGTATTATAGCTTATTTACTTATCCATGTATAATATATATGTATTTAGATATACGTAAATATACTTGTTTACTTTACTTGCCTCCACTAGCTTCCTATTTCTTCCCTTCTCTTCTACAGCTATGTTTAAACTGGTTTCATTTAAAATCCCTTTTATCATGTCCAGAGGATGCATTACACAGTAGGACATGAGGGACCAGTACAAGTAGAGTACCCAGGTGTGAGGCATTGCAAATTTAGATCTGTTCTAGAGGCTCATAGTGTTTTATCCTTACTTTAAAACTTTAGACAGGCTCTCCGTATTGGCTAAGTCATCTCATCTGCTACAGTGCTAGGATTTACTTTTTTTAAGTAAAATTTACACTGGAATGAGTAAAATACATAACCTAAAAAGCTAAAGAAATAATCTTACTCTTTGTAATAGTTATCAGGCATATATTTATTACCATAAACCATATTAATGTAGCACATAAAAATGTATAAACCACAATCTCATTACATAAATAATCAAACTGATTCAAGAATGGGGATTTAATTTTGATCATCCCATTTCTTTTTACAAAGTACTAAAGTGAAGAACTAGGGTCACAGGGCCCATTTAAAGCCCTGGTACTCTGATGAAAAGGTAAAAGGATTCAGGAGTTGCTTTAAACAGTAAGATGGGCAAGAAGGAATTCAGTTTACTAAATTTATTCTAAAGATGTCCACTCTATGAAACAAAAACAGGATTAAATAAAATAGTAGTGTTTCTGCTTGGCCATAAACACCTATCTCTTATTTGTAGTCTACCGTGGAAGAGTTTTGATGCAGAAGATTCTAAATTCTTAACCCTGGAGATTTCCAAGAGATCACTACCCTGGTTTTTATTTAATGATTTACTTATCTGAGGAAACATGACTATGCTGGATGATTTTTAAAGTTCCATTTCAGTTCATCCGGGCCATTCCATCTGAATTCTGTCTCTTCCCCCTCACATGACTCATGCATTTCTTTCAAATATATGCTTTCTATATTACCAAGAGTGACAAGGATATTATAATCAACCACATATATGAAGTGGACAAAAGATAGCTATTAGTAAATTAAGAATTTTCACCTCAGACTTTCCTTTAATGCAGGGTTAAAGCAAACTCCAGACAAGAGGCTAAGTCTGACCCACAGATTGTTTTGACAAAATAAAGTTTTACTGAAATACAACCACACCCATTCATTTACATACTGCCTATGGGTGCTTTTGCGCTACAAAGAGAAAACAGAGTAGTAGACAATTAAGGCCCACAAATACTAAAATATTTACTCTCTGGCTTATTACATAAATGTTTTCTGATCCTTGCTTTAAGGCATTCAGAAACCAATTAAAACTGAGAAAAACATTCACCTACATTTGATTAGCTTCACCACTTCCAAATGGTTTGAATGAGTCACCAGAGTTCCATTCACCTGTAAGAAAATGAAAATAGCATGTCAGCTACATTCCACTGAGAATGGATATATTGACTTTAGGAATTATTATACATAATACAACCAATTGTAATATAATATAGCACTGAGAACTATATTAAAATATGTATATATTTGGTTCAATATTCACTTTTATCGATATTCTTCTATAAGGTATACTCAGCAACAAAATGAACTTGAATACAAAACAAGGCCTTGATTTAAAGGACATTATAACTAACCATTAAAAATGACAAAACATACCATTTCTGACAACCAAATATATTTTGACCAATTATTTTATTTTATTTTATTTTTTTAGAGAAGTAGAAAAGGGGAAGAGAAGAGGGAGAGAGAGAACCTTAAGCAGGCTCCATGCCCAGTGCGGAGCCCAACATGGGGCTCAATCTCACAACCCAGAGATCAGGACCTGAACCAAAATCAAGAGTCAGACGCTTAACCAACTGAGCCAGCCAGATCCCCCTTCACCTATCATTTTAATTTCTACTTCTTTGGTTATCAGTGAGGTGAGACATATCCTCCTTAATACATTATTTATTTCAATTACTTTGGGGAACTGCCTGATAAAATTCTTTGTCTTTTCTTCTATTAGGCTATGTCTCTCTCTATTTATTCTTCTCTTAGGAATTTAAAAGTGCTCTTTACAAGTAAGGTATTCTACTCTGTAGTTTCAAATAATTTTTTCCAGATAGTTGTTTGTAAATATATTAATGGTGCCTTTTCCTGTATAATAATTTGATTTTTTTAAGTATTCAAATTACTCAACTGTCTCAAGAGTAATGACTGACCAATCCACTCTTCCTATACTGGTCAGAATTCAAGGCCTGTTGCTGGACTGATAGGCCTATATCTAGACTAGAGCAACCTGTTTTGAATTAATCCCCACCATCTCATCTCACACAATACCCATATACATAAAACTTTTTTTTTTTTTTTAGCTATTCTTATACCTCTGTAAAATTCATTTGGAAGACTCATCAGTTTGATAAATAATGACATATCTCCCCAGTCATATTAATATATTTTGATGAGAATTTTTTTTCATTATTATGTTATGTTAATCACCATACATTACATCATTAGTTTTTGATGTAGTGTTCCATGATTCATTGTTTGCATATAACACCCAGTGCTCCATGCAGAATGTGCCCTCTTTAATACCCTTGATGAGAATTTCTTACTAACAGATTAGTTTGGAGAGAAATGATCTTTATCACAGTGAGTTACTTTCCTATCTAAGAACACACATGACTCCATTTATTCACATCTTTTATTATGCCCTTCAGTAAATAGTAATATTAATTTTAAAATAAATGAAATGTTTTTTATAGTCAACAAATATATCATATATAATGTACTTCTTTTTGTAAAAATCCAAGTGAAAAAAATAAAATATGGTTAATATATGCTGTTTTTAAATCTACCATAAATTCCATAATAGTCTTTTCCTCTTACCTTGATGATTCGATCACCTGTCTGTACCCCAGCCCGCATGGCTGCTCCATCTGTAAGAGAAATTAATTACTTAAAATGTAATTCATTTGCATGTACTGATAATTTTCAGTACATGCAATTGGCAGAATAACCAAATGGTTAAAAACATGTGCCTCTGCCACTCACTAGTTGTGTGACCATGGATTATGTTTTTTTTTCACTCTAAGCCTTAGTATCACCTGTAAAATGGGGATAAAAAATACCTACCTCAAATTACAGCATCCGACATAAAGAAAGTATTTAATATATGGTAATAGAACATATTATTGTCATTTGGGGGAAAGTGGATGTTTTGGAGCATATAACCATTTCTTTAATCTGGTCTACCAAATATCTCCGGTGCCATGAAGAAATAAAATTCCACAAACCTCTCTAAGTGAAGATGTATAAAGCAACATGAACAAGGAGTCATACAATTTCTAAAACTATATAAGACTGTTTTCTTTCTAGTATGTACAAAGAAAATCAATTGGGGTGAATTCATGCCTATAACTAGGACACTATAAACACCAATCTAAAACAGGCCATATGACCTGCAACGTATATGATTATTTTATTCTGGGCAATAGACATGAGGCTTTTCTCCTCTTACTCTGTTTGCTCCCAAGTGACAAGACCGTTTTAAAAAATGCCTTGCCTTCTTTGACAGACTGTACGAAGACTGGATTGTCTCCACTGACCGTCAGCCCAAATCCATTGTCATCCTTCTGGATGATCACACAACGTTGAACAAGACCTGCACAAGAACCACAGGGTAAAGAGAGAAGAGAAAATAGGAGAGAAAAAGACATAATTACATATTAGTAATGAACTGTAACGAACTATATTCTATCTGGAGAAACACAAGATGGCATGTGAAACCCATTATCACAAACCACAGTACTGACCCCATAAACGAAACAAAGTCATATGTAGTGGTTTCTCACTGGAGAGGTAGAGTAGAATTGCTCTGAGATTAAAAACAGCTATGGCAAAGTGGAAAAGATGAAGTATTAGAGAGGAGACAGAAGGAAGGCCTATTCACATCTCTGCTATTTATTTGTAACATGAAATCCTCCCCACTGCCCTGTGTTTTTGATGCTCTAACTGGTGTTTAAACCCTAGAAAATCAAACATTTGGGGACATTAGGCTAGAAGCATCCCATGATAAACCCCAAAGAAATCCAATCTCATTCTCAGAAAAATACACTATCTAAAGAAAGGAGGTGCCTGCAGAGCATGGCAGCTCTTCTCCCAAAAGGGAGAAAGAACATGTTCAAAGAGAAGACCTGGGCTCATAGAAAAAATAAATAGAAAGGAGAAAAAAGTAGAAAAGATAAAGAACTTTTGAGCTCAACCAATCTGTTTCTTTCACATACTTACCTGATTCCTACAGGAGAATTTGTTTTCCTTCTAGCAAACAGCAAACAACAGTAGTCAAGGCAAGGTGAAAGAAACAGGACCACAACCAAAGGAACGGAGATGTCCCATCACAGAACCCTGATTATTACCTAGGGCTGTTGGGTCACAGATCAAGATCTGAAGATCCTGAACTCTGTGTTAGCCAGAGATTTAATACTTTCAGTTTTGCAGAATCTAATTGTTTCACCAAAAATCAATATATGAAACATGTAAAATAATGCAAGTATACTGATGGTTGGAAAATAAAAATTTCTTCAAAATAAGGATTTTTACACAAAGAGCATCACCTTTTAAGTAAGTCTGATGTACAAAACAAAGGATATGTTAAAGACTGCATATTAATGAATACATATATTTCTCGCTGTTAATGAAATGTCACAGCATGTGAGCCTACTACAAATGAAAGCCCGGAATAAGTGGATCACAGTACAGAAAACACGAACCATGAACTTACTCATAACCCTAAACAAAAAATTAACTTAAAGCAAATCATGTAGCTAAACACAAAGGCTACAACTTTTTATAAGAAAATACATGAGAAAATCATCAAGACCTTAGGGTAGGCAGACATCTTTTAGGATGCAAAATGCACCAACCATAAAAGAAAAAAAAACAGGAAATTGGACTCAAAATTTTAAGTATCTGTTCTTCTAAAGACATGGATAAGAAGATGAAAAGGCAAGGCACAGAGTGGGAGAAAATATTCATAATACAAATATCTGATAAAGGACTTGTATTCAGGTTATATTTAAAAAACAACAACTCTACAGTTCAATAATGGGGGATACATTTTAAAAAGAACAAAAGATTTCGGGGCATTTGGCTGGCTTAGTCAGTAGAGTGTGCGACTCCTGATCTTGGGGTTGTGAGTTCAAGCTGCATGTTGGGCATAAAGATTACTTTAAAACAAAACAAAACAAAAGATTTGAATAAACACAGCACAAAAAAACATACCCCAGTGGCCAAATAGCAAATGTAAAGGTGTTCAACATTTGCAGTCATCAGGAAAATGCAAACTAAAACCACAATGAGACACCACTGTTCATTAACTTGATTGGCTAAAAATAAAAAGACTGATATTACCAAATGTTGACAAGGATGTGGAGCAACTAGAACTCTCATGCATTGCTGGTGGGAGTGTAAAATGGTACAAACACTTTGGAAAGCAGTTTAGAAAATTCTTATAAAGGTAAGTATGCATTTACATATGACCCAGCAATTTCACTCCCAAGAGAAATGAAAACTCATGTCCACATAAAGACTGGTACACAAATAAGTCATGGTAGTTTTGTTCCCAAGAGCCAAAAACTAGAAACAACTCTAACATCTATCAATAGATGAATGGATAAACAAACTGTTGTTTATCCATTATAATAAAGTACTACTTAGCAAGGAAAAAAAGTAATAACTCATACATGCAACAAACATGGATGAATCACAAAAACATCATGCTAAAAGCAAAAGAAAGCAGATACAAAAGAGTGTACATACTATATGATTCCAGTGGAGAAGAGGCAAAACTAAAGGATAGTAACTAAAAGCAGATTAGTGGTTCCACAGTAGAGAGGAAGGGTGAACATGACCATAAAGAGAAATGAAGGAACTCTCTGGGGGTGATGAAAATGTTCTATATCTTAATTAAGGTAATGGTTACATGAATGTATCCCTTTGTCAAAACTCATCCAACTGTACATTTCAAAGGATATCTTATTTTATGTAAATTGTACAAGAAAGTTGATTTGCCACATCAAAATTTGTTAGCCCTCAATTCTAGAGACTACTACACACCAAACAGTATTTAAATTAACAAATTCACCTCTCCCACAAAATAGTAAATTGTAATGGGAGCAGAGGAAAGATAACCTATCAGAATTTAATCTTTGACGTAATGTTGCATCCTTCAAGTATTTGGGAAAAACTGTAACTAGAATGGGTATAAATACATAAATCAAGGAAAAAGCATTCTTTATTAATTTCTACTACATAATACAATAAATATAAGAATTAGAGACCTTCAGAATAGAATAAGGACAATGTTTTACCAGAATCTTTTAAAATCCATGCCCGGTTTTGGAAACATAAACATCTGATGATCTCCTTTACAATTCTTTAAAATTTCAAAATAAATAAATTATTGTGATTTCAAAATAAAAATCAAGACAACTGCAACACAATATTTTTCTCATACTATATCCATGTTCCCCAATTCTCCCATCCCACCTCCTAAGAGCTGAATGAAAATCAGTGAATTAAAGGTTTCTAATGTTGGGGTTTGCTGTGCTAAGCCACTGGGCTTCTTAAACAGACTGTTTTTCTGATCCCTGTAGAGAATAGGATGCTTGTAAAAAATGAGGGAGAGGAGTCGTGGGCATTAAGAGTTTGCTAAGTTTTGGGGCAACTGGGTGGCTCAGTGAGTTGAGCGTCCAACTCTTGGTTTTGGTTCAGGTCATGATCTCGGGGTTGTGAGACCAAGCCCCATGTCAGGCCCACGTTCTGTGGAGAACTGCTCAAGATTTTCTCTCCCTCTCCTTCTGCCCTCCCCCACACCGTTCGTGCTCTACGTTTGTGTATTTCACTTGTATATAATATATATTAAATATTTAGCTTAATGCCTGATACAAATAAAGACTCATAAATGTTAAGTATTTTATTATGATTAGGGCTACAATGCCCTTGGATTTTCCTGCTCAGGAATATATTACTCATCTATCCATGCGATTAAAAAATCAATTAAAAACACTTTTATGTTAAACTCCTATCATTAATGCAAATGCTCCTTAAAAGGATCAATCCTCATTTATGTCTTTGTCTAAATTTTGTTTTGTTTTAACAAACAAGCAAACTAGTTTTGGATGGGGAAGGAATAGAAAAGGAAAATATTACGGAGCAGGGCTTCTTCTAAGAAGGCAACTTTAGAATATAGGAGACAGCAAGAAGGCCTGAAGCAATGAATCACCTTCTCTTGTAAGCTTTTCCTAAATATCCAGACCAGGTTAGGTTCCCCCTTACAGACAGCGCCCTCTATTTACTCCCCTAGTAACATTATCACTCCCAATGGATACCTTGTTTTTATCCAATGACTAGATTATATGCTTCAAGAATGTAGGGGCTCTCTTCTTGTTTACAATCTTATTTCAGGAACTGGCAAATGTTCAGACACAGAAGGAATTTTTAATTGCTCATGAATTAATAAAGATTAGAAGAGTTGGGAGGTCTAGAGATGGATGGAAGCTCAGAGAGGGAGGTTATTGACACAGTCAATTTTAGCAAATATGCCTAGGTCCTAACAGACTGCTAAAAATTGAGTAAATGTAGTAGGATTACTTCAGAATATTGCAAACCTGTTTTCTACGATTCAAAATTGTCCAGCCTGATAACTTTCCCTCTTAATTCTACATCAAAAGGAGACGAGGAAGAAAGGATAAGGAGGAAACCGAGAAAGAGCTGCGTGCATATCCGATTCATCTTTCTCCTCTTCCCAACCCCACTACATTGTCCCTTTAGTATTATTCTAAGTCTATCTGCTAATCTGAGAACTTGATGTACTTAACATACAAGATCACAGAGAATCGTAAGAATCACTAAAACAATACAAAAGGAAAACATGCCTTCTGTATACAGCCAATTCAGAATCTATGCAATTCAAACTGATGATACTATTTTGTCCTAGGAATCTATATCATCTGCATGAACTTGGATTTGGGGTCATAATTAAGTAAAAAAACTAAGCTACCATGCCATTCAAAACTCAGAAATCCAGTCTTTCAAATGCTTCGATCTATTATGTTCCTTCCCATTCAAAATCAAATAAAATGCTTTTTCTTTCCTTGAGAGAAATGTTCTACTTGTTGTAGACCAGAAGCTGTTTTAACCCACCACAGAGGATAAAGTCCACCTTTCACACCCTTAACACTGAAATCACCAATACTTCACATTGAAATTACCGATACACCAACCTAAAATCACCAAGGACTAAATTATCACATCGATGAAACGTCCTTTTTGACAAACAAAAATCTACTTTTTTGTTTTAGCAAATTTGCATCGAACATCTGTCTATCAGTCATTTAACACTGCAGTCTGTGGGTGTTGTGAGGAAGACAAAACTATTACAGGTCTGTGCCCTCAAAGATCTTAAAATCTTGGCAGGAAAGGACAACAGAGACAGGGAAACAATGGCAATGTCTAATGAAGAATCAGAATTATAGGACAGATAACAGGCCCCATAGATTTTATAAAAGAAGGGAAAGTTAAAAGTGGAGCCCTAACTCCAAAACAGCCATTTTCACATTTCATTAATTAAAACCAACCAACCAACAAACACCTTCCATCATT